CTCACAGAGATCCACCTGCCTCTACCTCTGGGGTGCTGGGATTAAAGGCTTGCGCCACCACTCCCCAGCCCATCCATGAATCTCTTAAGAATGTGTTTTTACACTGTTGGGGCTCAGGTTTTCACCCATGGAACATTCTAGGAAATGTTTTAGAGGATCCAGGTTCCATTCCCAGCACCCACGCCAAGTGGCTTTCAACTGCCTGTAACTTCCTTTCCAGGGAGCTCAGACACTACCTTCTGGCCTCAAGGAAGACACACCCATGTCAACTCCTGGCTTCTGCTTGCACACACATGTACAAACCCTTGTACACACTCACATGTATGAATACAAACACACACAATAAATTTGTACTGGCTGGTTTTGTGTGTCAACTTGACACAAGCTACCGTCATCAGAGGAAGGAGCCTCAGCTGAGGAAATGCCTCTATGAGATCCAGCTATAAGGCATTTTCTCAATTAGTGATCAGTGGGGGAGGGCCCAGCCCATGGTGGGTGGGGCCATCCCTGGGCTGCTGGTCCTGGGTTCTATAACAAAGCAAGTCAGGGAACAAGCCAATAAGCAGCATCCTCCATGGCCTCTGCATCAGCTCCTGCGTCCAGGTTCCTGCCCTGCTTGAGTTCCTGTCCTGACTTGTTCATGGTGAACAGTGATGCTGGAATGTAAGCCCAACTCGCCTTATGGTGGTGGCGTTTCATTGCAGCCATAGGAACCCGAACTAGGACTCTCTCCAAGTTGCTCTGGGTCAGAGTGTTTTATGGTGAGGACAGTGGGCTTGGGAGGAACCAAGTTGAATGGAAGAGCTTGAGTGCAAGGGGAAACCCTGACAGCAGAGGAGGAGATGCTGAACATCAACCATCCCCGTCCCTGAGATGTGTGCATTAGCATAGCACACTGGAAAAAGAGAATCTAGGAGGCATCCATCCATACACCACGGTTTGGTTACTTTTGTTTATTGTGCCTATGATTATTATTTGTTACTGTTGACTTGACAGACACATGCCAGGTTCACCTAAGAAGAGGAAAGCTCCACTGAGAAAAGCCCCCTATCAGGCCGGCCTGTCGGCAAGCCTCTGGGTCTTTTTCTTGATTGACGTAGGAGGGCTTAGCCCACTGTGGGCGGTGCCAACCCTGGGCTCAAGGTTCTGAGTTTATAGGAAAGCAAACTGAGCAAGCCAGTCAACAGCGCCCCTCTGTGGCCTCAGCCTAAGCCCCTGCTCTAGGTTCTTGACTCAGCTTCTTCTCAGTGAGGGACTACAACTGCAAGCTGAAATATACCCTTTGCTCCTGAAGTGGCTTTTTCATCATGGTATGTATCACAGCAATAGAAAAACTAAGGCAAGCCCTAAACCTTCTCTGGAGTTGGCATTTTCAGAAATTTGATGGATTCTCAACTAAAATACGTAGTAGGGTAACAAAGAAACCTGAAGTCTAGCCAGCTATGGTGGCACAGGCCTGCCATCCTAGGACTCGGGGCACTGATGCAGGAAGACCTTGAAGTCAAAGCAAAAGAAATGAGCCCGGCATGCTGACTCACGTCTGCAATAGCCCTGGGGAGGCACAGTCAGGATCAAGGCCATCCTTGGCTAAATAGCAAGTATGAGGCCAGCCCGGGCAATGTAACATCTCATCTCCAAGCAAAAACAAAAACCAACTAAACACAAAAGAAACCCAAAGGCTAAAGAGAGGAAGAAGGTGGGGGGAAAAACCCTAAACACAAAGCAGAGGTGCATGGAGAGGTTGGTGTTGCAGAGATGTGTTGTCTTGGAAACTGCTCGCAGAGTGTTGTCATGGAAACCGCAGGACCATGAGTCGTCATGGAAACCAGGACTCCTATTAGGGGTACTTTAGAACTATTTTTAAATCCTCTGGCAACCAGTGTGGCTCCTTAATGTGAGATCAGGCATACAATTGATTCTACTAAGCACTGTGTGTATATAAACACATGACATATATATTTAAATATTTTTTCCTACACGAACATGGTTTATTTATATTTATTTATCTTATTGAGATAGGTTCTCACAAAGCCTAGGCTGGGCTTCAAATTCAAAATGCATGTAAGGATGACCTTGAACTCTTAATCCACCTACCAAGGGATTCCACGTGTGCACCACTGCACTGGCTTTTAATTAATTTTTGAGACAGAGTCATTATGAAACCCTACTTGGCCTGGTCCTTGATTTGCAGCCCTGGCAATCCTTGAACTTTGTGGGATCCTCCTGCTGGGGTACCAGGTACACACCACTATGCCTGGCTTTATAAGTACATTTCAATTTAATTTATTTACATTTATATCCTCCCCCCTTACCTTTTTGGTATTTTTTTTTTTCAAGACAGGGTTTCTTTGTGTAGCCCTTGCTGTCCTAGAACTCACTATGTAGACCAGCCTGGCTTAGAGCTCAGAGATCCTACATTCGCAGTTTTTATTTTTATTTTATGTGTGTATGTATGTGCTCCATGTGTGTGCCTGGTAACCAAGTATTCCTTGGAGTTGGACTTAGAGATGGTTGTGAATTACCCTTCAGGTGCTGGGGATGGAACCTGGGTCCTATTCAAGAGCAGCCAGTGAGCCATCACTCCAGTGTGAGAGTCTGTCTCACTATCTAGCACTGGCTGGCCTGGAACTCAGAGATCTGCCTGCCTCTGCCTCCTGAGTGCTAGGACCAAAGGTGTGAGCCACCACACCTGGCCATAAAACACACTTTAACTTTTTTCCCTTAAATATAATTATCTGTTAAGTATTTTGGATTCCATCACATCTGTGTGTGTGTACATAATATTGGTTCATCATTTGCCTTTTAAAATATTTTTACACCTCATTTTTATTGTTTCAATGTTATTCCTTTTCTTTTTTTACATATGACAACCACAAGGAATGACAAATGGGGCACAGGTTTTGGGATGGTAAGATGCTCAGTGGGTGAAAGTGTTCCCCATACAAGCCTGGGGCCTTCATCCAATCCATGTGGGGGGGAGAGGACTGGCTCCAGCAAGTTGTCCTCCAACCTCCACATGTGTGCGTCGGTACATGCCCACATGCAATCTTGCATGAATATCACACACACACACACACACACACACACACAGTCACAAACGACATCAATCTGAAATGCAGAGTTTTAGAAATATGACTTTCTCCAAGCCTACATTTCATCGAAACTGTATAATCAAAATGCATCATTTGTGAGTTTGTGTGTTTGGAGGAGGGTTTGCTTGCATGTGTGTGCCCTGTGGTGGCCAGAGGTCAATGTCAGTGCCTTCTAGATTGTTCTCCCCTTTTATTTAGAAACAGGGTTTCAGGGCTGGAGAGATGGCTCAGTGGTTAAGAGCACTGGCTGCTCTTCCAGAGGTCCTGAGTTCAATTTCCCAGCACCCACATAGATACTCACAACCATCTATAGCAGGATTTGATGCCCTCTTCCATACATAAGATGTACATGCAGCTAGAGCATTCCTATATGTAATAAAATAAATAAAATCAAAAAAAAGAAAAAGAAAAAAGAAACAGGGTTTCATTATGTAGCCATGGCTGGCCTGGAACTTGCTATATACACCATGCTGGCCTTGAACTCAAGAGATCTACCTACCTGTCTCTACCTCCTGAGTGCTGGGACTACAGGCATGCACTACCATGAATTTTTGAGGCAGGATTTCTCACTGGCCTGGATCATGTTCTGTGGTCAGGGGGCTCCTACAGTACTGTCTATATCTGTTTCCAGCACTGGAATTAAGGCCTGTGATGCCACATTTTTCTTCTTTCATGAGTGTTGGGGATCTGAACTCGGGTCCTTACTTTTTTGTTTGTTTGTTTTCCAAGACAGGGTTTCTTTGTGTAGTTTTGAAGCCTGTCTTGGACCTCGTTCTGTAAACCAGGCTGGCCTCAAACTCAGAGATCTGCCTGCCTCTGCCTCCCCAGTAATAGGATTAAAGGCGGGCACCACCACCTGGCTCAGGTCCTCCTGTTTACACAAGTATTTTATTCACATGGCCACCATCCTAGACTTTCAGTTTCTATTTTGGTGATTGTTCTTGTTTTCTGAGACAGGGTTTCTCTGTGTAGCCCTGGCTGTCCTGGAACTCTGTAGACCAGGCTGGCTTTGAACTCTCAGAGAGCTATCTGCCTCTCTCTCCTGAGTGCTGGAATTAAAGGTGTGAGCCACCACTGCCTGGCCCTCAGTTTCATTTTTTGATGACAGAGTCTTCCAATTGTTGTTAGTGTATGGGGTAAATCTCAGTTTCTGGGGTCACATAAGTTTCCTTCTTTGTAGAGTCTTGCGATAAGGTTGGTCAAATTCAAACACAACCTCAGTCATGGGAATTTTCATCTAAGCCACCTCAAGTTTAGTAAAATTCATATGGTAAGTAGCTTTTTTTCTTTCTTTCTTCGTTTCTTTGTTTACTTATTCAGCAGTGCTGGGATTTACTCCAGGGCTAGGAAAGTGTTCTACCAGTCTGTTCTACCAGAGGTTTAAGTGGACATCTGAACAGTCGCATGCCCACATGTTTTGTCCATCTTTCCTATTAAGCCCAACTGCAGAGCCCAGGGCAGGCCGCTAGGATGCCTAGCAACCAGTGGCGAGTTGCCATGGAGACCGCCCGGGATGCAGATCTGAGGACTTTGTGCAGGAAGTAAGTGCGCATGAGTGCTCTTCAACATCAGCTTGGTGGAGCTCAGGGGATCAAGGCCGTGTGACCTGTGCAGACTGGCACAACTTCCTGGCTCTTTGGGTCCGGGACCTGCTCTCAGGAAGCAACTGCTCTCCAGCCCCTGTCCGTGGCCTGCCTGGACTGCAAAGAAGCAGGGGTGGCCAAACCATCCCTGTGAACCTGCGGAGTTCCAGGCTCCAGGGAGAGGCTAGGGCTGATTGCATCATATTTCGAACACGTGAGCATCTGGGGCCCAGGTTAGGGAGGAGGGTCTTGGGAGGGGGAGGGGAGTGGGGGGAGGGAGAAGACTCTTGCAAGACCAGCTGCGTAGAAGACAAGAGCGATCTATGCTTCTGGTCATCTTTAGGGAACCTGACCTCACCGTCTTGTCACCTGCGAAATTCTTATTTGGCGACCACCTCACCTCCATCCCCTCCCTCATAGATCCTTTGTTCCCAGCACAGGTAGAGCAGGAAGATGTCGGAGCCTGTGGCCATGAGCCTGCTGGAGGATTGGTGCAGAGGTATGGGACTGGATATCCACAGGTCTCTGCTGGTCACTGGCATCCCTGAGCACTGTGGCCACGCAGAAATCGAGGAAACCTTGAACGGGGTCCTCTTGCCACTGGGCACGTACCGTGTGCTCAATAAAATTTTTTTGCGGCAAGAGAATGTAAAGGCTGCTCTCGTTGAGGTCAGCGAAGGTGTGAATCTAAGCTCTATACCCCGCGAGTTTCCAGGGAGGGGCGGTGTCTGGAAAGTGGTCTGCAGGGACCCTACCCAGGACGCCGAGTTCTTAAAAAATCTGAACGAATTCTTGGATGCTGAAGGACGAACTTGGGAGGATGTGGTACGCCTCTTGAGGCTTAACCACCACCCATCATTCCCGAACTCAAACCAGCCTCCACCGAACTGGGCAGAAGCTATGGGACTGCTTCTGGGTGCGGTGGTACAGGTTATCTTCTACATGGATGCTGAAATCCGTAATCGGGAGGAAGAAGCGAGGTCTGAGGAAGCTGAGTTGATGGCAACGTGGGCTTCTACAGCGAAGAGGAGGGTAAAGAAGGAACCCGGGCTGGGCGTAGAGGTGGGATCGGCTTTCAAGATGGAGGATGAAAACTATTGGAGGAGCGCGGAGGATCGCGGTGATGCTCTAAAACCTCTAGCTCGCAGGGCTGGAGGTAAGATTCGCTCCAGGAGAAGGAAGCAGAAAAAAAATCCTAAGCAAGAACCAATATGCTGGAGAAAACCCCAAGGTACCAATTACAACAACAAGGTATATTTGGAAAGCGTTGAAGCTGCAGCTGTCCAAAGCTCAGAGACCCCAGAGTCTGTCAAGAGCAGCAAAAAGCCCTCCGTGAAGCAGGAGGAGACAGTTTGGAAGAAGGAACGAGTTTGGAAGGATCCTAACGATCTTCCTCAGAATACAATGGCCACAGCAGAGAGTTCTGGGAGTCTGGAGGACTCAGATCAAGGTGGTAGTCCCAAGAGCCCTCCAAAGAAGAAAGCCATGACTTGGGCCTGGAACAAGATCCCTGCCTCCATGAGGAAGAAGAGGAAGTTGAGCATGGGCTCGCTCTCTTATGTTCTGGTTGATTCTGAAGCCACCAAGAACAAACCTGTAATTTCCAAGAAAGGGTTTGGTTCTAGAAGGGCCATGTCGGCTCAAAGGGCTCCTGGGGGTGCCCAGCCTGCAGATACACTGGCTTCAACATCCAGAGCTCGGAAGACCAAGCCAGGAGGCTTCCCTCGTGTCTCCAAAGGTGAGTGGATATAGAAATGGTCAGTTAAAGTAGGGGTTCAGTAGGAGGGGGTCAGAAGGGCTCACAGGATGCCAGTGCATTAGGGGAAATTTTCACACTCGCCCAGGTCAGGGTTAGTCTGTGAGAGCCTGGGCATCCCTCCAACAGCCTTTGCTAGGCATCATTGGGGTCCCTGCCAAGCCATGACTACGTCACCCACTTCCCTCCCTATCAATGTAATGGTTTGGGGGCATGTAGTCATGGCACATACTTGTAAGCATTTGGAAGACTGAAGCAGAGGGTTGAGAGTCTGAGATCAACCTGGACTACGTGAAACTTTATGATTTGAGATTCTGTTGTTTGTTAGGGTGCAGGACTCTAGGGCTGATGCTTCCAGGGCCTGGCTGGGTGGGGTGGGGTGGGTGTGGCCATGGTCATGGACTCCGGAGGTCCCCAGGCAGTAAATACCTAATTATGCCTGTCCCTGCTTCCTTTCTTGGGATGCTCTGATTTATCCACAGATCCCAGAAACCTATGATTTGGGGAACCCTGTGCCTGAGGAGATGGAAGAGTATCAAGGAAGACATTTCAAGTCGGGAGCAAACATTTTTTGGACTATCTGGGGGCCTGTTATATGTGTGCATGTCTGACCCACACAGGTAATAGATGCAAGGCCTTAGGAGGGGAGAATTGTTGGAGGTGGGTACTCTCTTTGTGTCTCTTGCTCAGTTGGGCTTCTTCTCAGGCAGAAGAGGCCATGAGTAGCTTCAGAGAATTCTAGAACATTCTTTCCCCAGAGGAGGCTCATGGTTTTGCCTACCAATATTGAGCCCTTATTCTCCTCTACTTCCTGCCTTTTCTTTTGGAGGCCCAGCCCACCCACAGAGCCTGAAGTCCAGAAGGACAGGGTGGCCATTTTGTCCCTTGTGTTAGCATTTGGTAAGTCAGCTTGCTCTGTGCATTCATTCTTCAACTTCTGTCCTCCAGCAACCTAACTGGATGTTGGTTAGGTCCCAAGAGTTAGTTCTGGGGAAACAAAACGAAACAAACATCTTGCTTGGCCTTGAAGTTTTCAGATTTCAGAGTCTTTAAAGAAAACCAAAGGCAGGGGCGATGGCTCAGTGGGTAAGAGGGCTTGCAGTACAAACACAAGGACCTGAGTTCTAATCCTTAGGAGGTGTGTAAAAAGGCCAGGCATGGCTGCCCTGACCTGTAACACCAGCATTGGGTGTTGGAGACAAGTAGATCCCAACAACTTGCTGGCCAGCCAACCTATCTGAAATGGTGAACTTCTGGGCTGGGGAAATCCCCCAGTGAGGGGCCAGGAGTGTGGTTCAGTGGTAGAGCTCCTGCTAGCATATTCAAGGTCCTGGGTTCCATCTTTAGAATCAATAAAAAACAAAATGGAATACAAATGGCATTTTAGTTCCTGACTGGGGTAATGCCCTCTCAAGGAAGTCCGTGGGGGAGAGGAGAGGTTGGTAGAGAAAAGTCAGTTTTTAGTTCTAATTCTGTTGACTTCTACAAGACCCCGTCTTTGAGGCTTAAGTCAGTTGCTCACATACTACTAAGAAAGGGAAGATCTCTGCCTTTTCAAAAGCTTCTTTAAAATGGACTGATTTCTGTCCTCCGAATTTAGTGCCATTAAATCAGACCATGCTGCCATGGCAAGGGGCAAGGATGGCATCACCACTGTCTGTGGTTTCTAAGCCACGTCCTGAGGATTCCTTTTTTGTGTTTAAAGGCATTAAAGAGAGGCTGGAGATATGACTCATTGAGAAAAGGGCTTGCCACCAAGCCCGAGTCCCTGGGTTTGATCCCCAGTACCCACATGAGGGGAAGAGAGAAGGAACTCCGAGAGTTCCCCTCTGACCCTCAAAAATCATTCCATGGCACGAGCATGCCAGTAAATAAATAAATAAAGTTTGACTTTTGAAATAAAGCAGGTTTAGTGACATGTAGCTGCAATCCCAGCATGTGGAGGCTGAGGCAGGAGAATTACTACTAGTTTCAGGCCAGCCTGGGCTACAGAGTAAGACCCTGTCTCAAAATAAACAAGTAAATAGGAACATTTTTTTAAGTGTAGGAAAAAGACGACTCAACTGTGTTATAATCCAAAATACTGGAATATTCCTTTGTGTGTATAGGATAACTGTAACTAGTCATTGGCACTGTCCTTTGTATATAATTGTATTCTCTCTCTCTCTCTCTCTCTCTCTGTGTGTGTGTGTGTGTGTGTGTGTGTGTGTGTGTGTGTGTGTGTGTGTTTGGCAGAAGGTTGCCTTCTATGCTACTCCACAGCCACCATCCACCTTTTTATGAGACACAGACTTTTCACTGGTCTGAAACTGGCTAGGAGGCTGGCCGGGCTGTGGACCCCAGGGACCTTGGAGCACTGGAGCAAGAGTCTGTGCTCTGTGCTACAACGTTGCAATGTTGGCTTTTTGTTTTGTACAATGTTGGCTCTTTGTTTTGTTTTGTTTTGTTTGCACAGGTTCTGGGAACCAAATTCAGATGCTTGCTCTTGAAATAGTTTCCTAACTCTAAGTTTCTTGTAGATGCCAACGTTGAGGAGAAAGGTAGGGTGGGAGTGGAAGGGGAGTTGGTTCCCTGTGTGTTCCGTGACAGAGTCCGCATCTGTGTGTTGAGCTGTGATTGACAACAGAGTCCCTCGCTAATCTGGGCTAACCTGGTACACAGCTGGACTTCCTTCAGCCCTTGCGAGTTTTCACGCTCTCCTGTCACTGCAGTTTTCCTGATCCAGAAACTGACTGGTTGTTACACAATTGCTGGTGAATCAGTCAACCACCAGGCCCATTGCTTGTGATTATCCTGGAGACTCCTTTGTTGAAGTAGCGCATTAGTGCAACCATCAATGAATGTAAATGTGTGAGTGTAAAATAAAGTCGTGCAAATCAAGTCTCGGAGTAGTCGTCTTGTCGAAGGAAGGTGTATGTAGGATGGCCGCTTGGAGGAAGCTCTTCCCTGATGAGCAGTAAGAGCTTCATTCATGTGACCACCGTTAATTTCCCTTAAGAGAAGAAGCTATTTCTTCTTGGTTGTTGTGGCCTGCCATCCATGTCCTCAGTGATCTTATGGTTTCTAGAATAGGTAATAAAATAATGTTGAATGATCTGAAAGTATTAGTTTATTTAGTTACTTACGTTTTGGTACTAGGGATTGAATCTAGGACCTGACACATACTACATAGCACCCCACTGCTGAGCCACACCTTTAGCCCCCCCCACTGGGGGATTCTAGGCTAGGGCTCTACCACTGAGCCATATAACTAGCCTTTTTATGTTTTATTTTCAAGCTAGGTTTCAGTGTGCTCAGTGTAGCTCAGGCTGGCGCTGAACTTGTGACCTTTCTGCTTCAGTCTCCCAAGTAGATGAAATTATAGACCTGTATCATCAGGCCTGGTCGATGCCACTTTATTAGAAAGTACCTGGGAAGTGAGAACTCTTTCTTCCCTCCCACCCCTTGGCAGAGGCAGAGGGCTTTAAACAAACTGTATGTGCCTGTATGCGTGGTGTGTGTGCTTGTGTGTGTGTGTGACAATGCACTCCATGCTGCTCAGAGAACAGCTTTGGGACCAGTTTTCTCTTTCCGCCTTTACATTGGGTTCCTGGGATCTATTACAGGCTTCTAAGGCAAGCACTTTTAACCTGCTGAGCCACTTCTCCTGTCCCGAGGCAGAAGCCTATTTTTGGAGGGGAGAAGTGTGTGTGTTGGACCACGGTCTTGGCTATGTAGACTTGGCGGGCCTGGAGCTCCCAGAGATCCACATGCCTCTCAAGTGCTGGGATTAATGATATGAACTATCATGCCCAGCCTTAGAAGTCTTTCAGTTGGGCCGTGGCGACAAACACTTTTAATCCCAGCATGCAAGAGGCAGAGGCAGGTGGATCTCTGATTTCTAGGCCAGCCTGGTCTACAGAGCGAGTTCTAGGACAGGTTCAAAAGCCACAGAGAAACCCTGTCTCGAAAATGAAAGAAAGAAAAAGAAATAGCATCTTAAGGATTTATGTTTACATATTCACACGTGTTCATGTGGAGTGCACCTTAGTGTGTGTGGATACATGTTCATGTGGGATATTCCCGTGTGTGCGAGGGCATGCACATTTAGTTCAAAGGTTGACGTTAGATGGTTTCCTCAAATGCCCTCCACCTGGTTTTTTTTTTTTTTTTTTTTTTTTTTTTTTGTTTGTTTTTAATAAGATCTTTCAATGACCCTGAAGTTCACCGACTGGGTGAGATTCGCCCTCCAGTGAGCTCTGTTGTTAAACATCTTAAGAATTGCAACAAAAAAAATTAAATTAAAAAATCCAGTGGGTGTGGTGGCTGGAATGAGAATGCCCCCCATAGACTCATATACATGAATGTTTGGTCCCCACATTGTGGAACTGTTTAGAACAAACTGTGAGCTCTCAGTTACTGCTACAGCACCATACCTGCTTATGGGATGCCTCTCCCCCTCCATGTGTGTTAATGGGCAGTGGGGGTGGGTCTGTGTGTGTGTAAAAAATAAAAGTCCTTCTCCCTAACATCTCCATACAGTTAATTCGAGTTTAAACATTTCTTTTTCTCCCTGGTATGGAGATAATCACAAAAGATTAGATTTTGAGTGGTAAGAAAGCTTGCCTAGCATGTACGAGGTCCTGGGTTCAATCCCCAGCCCTGCATAAACTAGAATTCATCTTCTCAACATTCAGAAAGTCAAGGGACAGGAGGATCTGAAGTTCGAGGTCATTCTGGGTTACATTCTGGCCAGCCTGGGCTATGTGAGATCCTGTCTCAAAAGGTGTGAAGGGTCGGATATTGGCCAGGGATGTAGCTTAGTACTAAAACACTCATCTAACATGTCCCAGGTTCTAAACTCCAGCATGGAAAAACCTAAGCTGGTCATGGGAGTTTATACCTATAACCCTAACACTTGGGAATCTGAGGCAGGAGAATAGCTGTTTACTCAGTTTCTTCAAGGTCTAGGTACCTTCTGCAAACACTAAGACATTCTATTGTTACACTAGATACACAGAGAAACAACTGTTT